AGCGAGGAAGGATGCCTCCGAGCCAGCCGAACCCGGGCCAGTACGCGCTGACCAACGGCGACCCGCTGAATGGGCACTGCTACCTGTCGGGCTACATCTCGCTGCTGCTGCGGGCCGAGCCCTACCCGACGTCGCGCTACGGCAGCCAGTGCATGCAGCCCAACAACATCATGGGCATCGAGAACATCTGCGAGCTGGCGGCGCGGCTGCTCTTCAGCGCCGTCGAGTGGGCCCGCAACATCCCCTTCTTCCCGGACCTGCAGATCACCGACCAGGTGGCCCTGCTGCGCCTCACCTGGAGCGAGCTCTTCGTCCTCAATGCCGCCCAGTGCTCCATGCCCCTGCACGTGGCCCCGCTCCTGGCCGCCGCCGGCCTCCACGCCTCGCCCATGTCCGCCGACCGCGTGGTGGCCTTCATGGACCACATCCGCATCTTCCAGGAGCAGGTGGAGAAGCTCAAGGCCCTGCACGTCGACTCGGCCGAGTACAGCTGCCTCAAAGCCATCGTCCTCTTCACGTCAGGTCAGTGCAGGGCACTGGCGGGTGGGTCAGCGGGAGGCCCAGGCAGGTGGAGGCAGCCCCAGGAGAGAGAGCAGTGACCTGGCCGCGCCTAGGGAGCCCCCCCCCCCAGCAGCACCAGGCTGACCCTCCCCCCGCTGCATTTGGGCCATCCAGAGGAGGCACTGGGGCAATAGCCCCCCCTTTTCTCCCCCCCCCCCGAAATGTAGATCCTGAGGATTCCCTCGGTTCTAGCGAAAGGGCTGAGAGATGCCTCCACAGCGGCAGGGGGAAGTGGCTGAAGGTTTCCTGCAGGCCTCCGGTGAACCTGACAAAGGGAAGGTGACCTGCTAGTCTGGGGTATTCAGTCCCAGAAGGAGGCCAGTGTCAGGCACGGGGGGGGGGGTTTGCTCTGCAACCTTACATCTCTCACCAACCACCTTCCCTTCTAGATCTGTATTTTTTTTTCACGGGGGGGTCCCAAAAAAGAAAAGGGGAGGAGGCAAGCAGGCCGGAGGTTTAAAGGCCTTGCAGACAAGGCTCCCTGCCAGAGCTGATTCCATTAAGGAAGACACAAGCGCAAATAAATCATAAATAATACGGCTTTACTGCTGCCTGATTTCCCCCTTATCGGAAACCATTCATATTTGCAGTTGCTGTGGTTAGTGAGGCTCGTAAAAATGGATTCCAGCTCCGCTTTAAGAGCGAGAGCGAGCCAGAGAGCGAGAGCGAGCGAGCCCAGTCCCCAGCCAGCAAGGGGGCAAAAGGGCCCTCAGCCGGGCCCAGGGTGAGGCGGTCCGGCCTGCAAGATGCCCTCCCCTCTCTTCCCACAGTGCAAAACCACGCAGATCTCGGGAAAGGTAACAGATTGGCCTGCAAAAATATCAAATTAAGGGTAGGCGAGAGCAAGGCGCATGTGAGCAATTTTGCTGATGATAGATGGGTCAAATTAACTTTGCAGGAGAGTGCATTAGCGTCGCCTTTGAAGTGCTCCGGTCGCCTGTGAGGCTGGGAGACCGCTTTTATCCCCCGAACCTGAGTGAGGGAAATCTGTAGGGACATCAAAGCTCCAGGAAAGGGAAACCCAGATCAGCGGTCCCGTTTGGTGGCCTGTGCGGGTGCTGGATCGACCGCCTTTTGCAAACTTTGTGGAAATACGCTTTTTCCTCCTGAGCCCATTTAGAATTGCCCTTTAAAAGTCTCCCGAAACGTGACACAAAAGGCTGCCGGGAACAAAGATGGCCTAGCGCGCCGCGGCCCTGGCTCGGCGCAGGGATCCGTCAAAAAAGCGTGTCGCCTCCCATGCATGAGGGATGGCATTTACATTGTAGTCGACTGACTCCCTGCATTTGCACGCGATATTGTAATGTAGCAAATGTAGTATTAATATCGATTTGAACCTCGGGTAATGTATTTAGGCCGGGAGGGGATCTCATTGGTATGCGCGGCGCTCCCAGACCGTGGACTGTGACTGCCCCCCCTCGTTCCTCCGGCTGCAAATGCAGGCCCGCGGTGAAGGCGGCGGCGGCGGCGGCGGGGCCGGCCTCTCTCCTCGCCGAGGAGGATCAAGTGCAGATCGGGAAACAAATGGGGAGATTTACGGAACAGTCGCCTCGACACTGGGGTGCGCTTCGTCTCCAGAAACCCGGCCTGACGGGAAATGCGTTTTTCAAAACCGACCGGCAGAGAGCCCGGTGGCATTTCTGTTTCAGGCTGATTTAACCGGAGAGTCCTTCGGCAGCCTGCCCTGTGTCTTGGTTAACTGGTATCCTTCATTGGGGGGGGGGGGGGGAGTGCAACTAGGGAGGGGGTGAGAGTAGCCGGACTGGTTTGGGAAATGTGGCCTTGAGGTTCCAGCCCTAAAGAAAGAGGAGCGCCTGATTCCTTGGCTGGGCCACCAAAGGGCTTGGTTAGAAAGTGGGACACACACACCCCTCTATGGGGGGGAGAGAGGAAGATTTCTTTCTGCTCTGTCAAATTCTGGCTCAGGGCGTAGCTTGGTGACTTTATAAGACTGTTATCTCTATCTCTGTTTCTATCTATACGTCCGGCCGCCTGCGTTTTAATATCTTTCCGTTGTCACCAGGGCAGTGCAATTAAGGTGATGCCCCTGATAAATGGGGAGGGGGAAATCAGAATCGTGTTAGGCTGGGATGCGGGGTGTAAAGATAGGAAAGTACGACTGCCCCGACAGCACTCTCGTTTGTTCTCTCCCCCCCCCCCCTTTCCCTTTCCCCCCCATTTCCACTTGGGCCTAATCTTCCTTTGATTGCTCGCCCGAGGATAATTTCAGGCCGGTCTTTCGCCAAGTCATCCAACTTTTAAGCAAACTTTGATGGATGGAAAAGACATTTTTAGTCACCTTGTCCCAAGGGTTTTAATTGAACCAGCCCATCCTAAGCGCCAGAAGAGACTTACTTCCAAGTCAGCGCTTTTCCAGAGGAGGGGGAAATCAGCGTTTCTGGCTGGGTTTCGCTGGTCTGGCCGTAGCCACCACCAGGGCTCTGGGTACTTCTTTTCACCCACCAAAGTTTGGAGTCTGTCCCACCAGGGACTTGAAAGCTGTAAACCTGCTTTGTTTTTTGTTTGGGTTTCAGACAAATATGCAAGCTTCATTAAAGAGGGCTCCTTCTGAACTCCCCCCTCCCAGTTTTGATATACAAAGTCTCCCACGGAGGGACCTGGTTAGATCAGATCAGTTCCATAAATCTATCTCCTGTGCCATAAGAACTTTGATTTCGGGTTATATGCGAGCTGATTATGTCTATATTTTCTGAACACTAAACTCTTCTGGATGCGTTACATGAAATACATTCCCTGTAGTACAAAGGCTCAGGTTGGCGGGCACGGAACAGTAATGATTATTTATTTACGTCATTTCTTTCCCATAGACTGGAGGAAGAAATATGGAGAAATAATGACTGCAGGAAGAAATATGGCCATCTTAAAAAGTGGGCCACGCGCAGTTTCCACCTCCATCCCCCCTTTTCCCGGTCCAGCCCCCCCCCTTCACCCTTCCTGAGACGTAACTCACAGAAGGTGCATGGCTTATGCATGGCTTTCTGTCTTTGCTCTATTTCATCTCAACTCAATCAGCTAATCGATCAGATAGCATAGATTGTTTAATTAATTTTCAGATCCTGTTGTTTAGTGCGGAGGTTGAAAGCAACCCCCCCCCCCCATCCTAGGCACAGTGGCTTGGAAATAAGTCCTTCTGAACTGAATCTTGTTTAAGGCAAAGGGGTGCCAAATAAAGTCCAGCCTGCTGGGGTGATGGGTTTAAAACCGAAGGGCCAAGGGACGCTCAAAAAAAAGAAGAAGACTGAAGTGGCGTTTATTCAGGGATGTATTTGGGGATGCAAAAAGAGAAAGTAAACAGAGAGGAGCATCGGCGATGGCAGCTTTTCGCCCTCTCTCTCTTGAGGCCGGGTCTCGGGGGTTCCTGGGACGGCTCAGAGCCGGAGGGGGCCGGGTAGATATTTTACCATCCCAGGCAATGGGACCAGAGGCCTCCAAAGAAACGTGCTTAATCGGCCCCATTTAAGATTACCTTCTTTGGCCAAGTTGTGTGGAATAAACAGCGAGTCAGAGGCTCGCTGGAGAGGTAGGAAGGTGGCCTTGGACAGTCGCCCTCTGAGGAGGCCGGTGACTCTCTCCGCTGGTGCCCGCAGGCAGGGCCAGACTCCGCTCCCCCTTTCCGTGTGGTTGGGTGCCTGTGGCCTCCTGCTTCTCTTCCCCCCCCCCCACCTTTTGGAGACCATACGACTGATCACTGCATTTAAGGCAAAAGTATGGATTAGCACAACAGTCGGCTGCGAGTAATGGTACATCGAAGCACTCCTTAGTCCGTCGCTGGGGTCACGGGGGTCTTTTCCTCAGGAGCGCCTGAATTATAGCCTGCTTTATTTCTATTTTCGCTCAAGGCCAGAGGCTTTGAGATGAAGGTGCTGGGCAATCTTTGCGATCCCAGTCTTGGAAGCAGAAAGAGCTCCAACTTGAATTTAACCCCCCACCCCACCCACCCACCATGCTGTAAAAATACACTTGGCACCCATTTTCTTCTTTGGGGGGGGGGTGGCTTCTTTTAAAAATCTGTAGTGCCTTTTGCAGGGTCCTCATCTTCCATTCGCGGTGCTCTTCCATCCTTTGGGGGGCCATTACCCTGCGATTAATTCATATTTAGCAAAGGCTGCCTTTGATCTGCGCTCAGCCGCCCTGCTCGCCGACTGTGCTGCCTTGTGATCCCGGTGTTTTGAAATATTTATTATTAATACCAGAAAACTGGGCGTGTATGGGCGGAAGGCGACAGCGACTCTACATTTCTCTGCCCTGAGGTTTCCTGAGCCAGAATTCTCCGCCGCCCAGGTGTGGGGCTTTCACTCCCCTCCAAATATTGTCCAGGGGTATTTATTTGGGGGAGAAAAGGAAGGGAAGGCAAACCTTTTCAGGGAGGGAGGGAGGGAGGGGGAGACAGAGAGAGAGGCTTAGGCATCTGGGTATTGGGGGGGTACAGTTCACCACCCCGGGGCTCGGCCGTCGGCCCCTGTTTCCACCCAGTCGTTGCCCGGGCTCCTGCGTGGCAGCCGGCGCAGCTTTGTGCAGGCGAGGGAGCCGGCAAGAGCAGCTGCGGGCTTTGGCTGGGGAGGGGGGGGG